AATAGATACAAGGGGCCTGAAGGCCCCATCTTCTGGGGGGTTCATCCATCTGGATCCACAGGCCATGTGTGTGAGGCACCTCTCCACCCACTGCAGACATCCTCTGATGGAACTCTGTGCCCGAACCTTCGTGCCCAATTCCGCAGAATGTGGTGGGGACAAAGGGAGGGTCAAAGTCATCACTGGACCTAACTCCTCAGGGAAGAGCATATACCTCAAACAGGTGAGGAGAATCCCTACAAACTAGCCCTCTGGCTCTTCTCCGTTGTCTCCATCCCCTGCCTACCCGCTAACCCAGCTCCCTACAGTTCTTCTCCCCCTGTGTTTTGACCCCACCTGTCATGAAAAGCCCAGAGCCCACACAGCCTGATCCTCTACCTCACATGTTCTCATTCTCTACTTGAGGGAGAGCCATGTGCTAATAGATCTTTCCATAAGCCTGAATTCACTTCCTCCACCTCTGAATAGGTCCATGCCATTCTCAAGTTTGCCTCTGCCCACTCCCCAACCCTCGTTACTGATTCTAAAGTAAGCAGAAGGGGCTATGATCTTCTGTTAAACTGTGTTCACCCCTCCTTGATCTATCATTCACCCCTCAGTTTAGCCTCGGCTTCACCTTGGCCCACACCACCAGGCTCCAGGCCCTGTCTCCTCCCCTATTCAGGTAGGCTTGATCACATTCATGGCCCTGGTGGGCAGCTTTGTGCCAGCAGAGGAAGCAGAAATCGGGGCAGTAGACGCCATCTTCACCCGAATTCATAGCTGTGAATCCATCTCCCTTGGCCTCTCCACCTTCATGATCGACCTCAACCAGGTCAAAGGGAGCAAAGGGAGGTGGGATTGGGGGAGGAAGATAATGGAGAAGGAACTCTACCCCTGAAAAATGATCAGAACAGGAAAAACATTCCTTCTGCCACATGCCCTCTACACTAGGGACAGGGAGCTCCCAGTTCAGAGACCAGGAGTATCAATATCGTGAACCTTTATTGTACTGTCGCTTTGTGTGAGGCATTGTTTGCAATGAAAGGATGAACATAACATGCACCTCGCTATTAAAGAACTTGCAGTCCAGTAGGGTGAACACATATAAGAGCAGTCTTATTCACAGGCAGACTGTGGTCAGTGCATTACAGGCCTCGAATGCTAATGAAACTCTCCCTTGTCCATCTGGTGCCCAGCAGGTGGCGAAAGCCGTGAACAATGCCACTGAGCAGTCTCTGGTCCTTATTGATGAATTTGGAAAGGGAACCAACACGGTGAGGGGAGAAACTAATGATGAACTAAGGAGGGGAAAATGGAGGAGGACAAAGGAGCATGAGGGTGAGGCTGAGCCTCAGGAAAAGAATATGGGTGTGTGGGCAGAGAAGAAACAGAGCCGGAGATGGGGAGAGGCCAGGGCAGGTGGAGAGGGGCACATGGGGCACCCATGGTTCTGCACCCTCACTCCTGCCCCTGTGCAGGTGGATGGGCTTGCACTTCTGGCCGCTGTGCTCCGACACTGGCTGGCCCTTGGACCCACGTGCCCCCACATCTTTGTGGCCACCAACTTCCTGAGCCTCGTTCAGCTACAGCTGCTGCCACAGGGGCCCCTTGTGCAGTATTTGGTGAGGAAAACAATCTATCCCCCTAGGGGCCCCTAGATTGTCCCCAGAGCGGAGGAATGGCTCCTCCCTATCCTGAGTATAGGGACCATGTCCCTTTTTTTTTCTCACTTCCCACAGGGATGGGCAAAGGATTTCGGGACAGGAAGCAGAGTGACTGATGACACTCTGTCTCCTTTTATTCTCTTTTAAGACCATGGAGACCTGCGAGGATGGGAACGACCTTGTCTTCTTCTATCAGGTTTGCGAAGGTGTTGCCAATGCCAGCCATGCCTCCCACACAGCTGCCCAGGCCGGGCTCCCTGACAAACTCATTGCTCGTGGCAAGGAGGTTAGATCCTGACATCAACCACCTCCATCAGGGCTCCCTTCCACTGTCCCTGCTCCTCTCAGGGGCCTGGGTTTCTGGGTCCGTGGGATTTCTGATCCTTATTTCCTCTTCTCTTACTCAACTGCCCCGCCCCGCCCCCGCTTCCACCTTCCTTCTTGTTCCTAGGTCTCAGACTTGATCCGCAGTGGAAAATCCATCAAGCCTGTCAAGGAGTTGCTAAAGGAGAAGCAAATGGAAAAGTGAGTATGTGGCCCTGGGTCCTTGTTCTCTCTAGCATCTTCTGCAGCTCTTCTCCCCCTTTCAGGGACTCAGATAGCCTCTTTGCCCTTCAAACACCCATGATTTCTTTCCAAAATTCTTAAATTTTCAAGGTCCCAGCTTTTTCTGTGCCACAGCCTCTCCCTTCTGCTCAGGGACTCAGTTATCCATCCTCCCATAAATCTCACCATTCTCTCTCCCTTCAGTTGCCAGATATTAGTAGATAAGTTTCTGAAACTGGATTTGGAAGATCCCAACCTGGACCTGGATATTTTCATGAGTCAGGAAGTGCTGCCTGCTGCCACCACCATCCTCTGAGAGTCCTTCCTCAGCTCTCCTCCAGTTCCCAAACCCTGGTGGGCTGCACATGCCTCTTTGTTTCCTTATCTCCTTCAGACCTAGAGTTCTCAGTTTCCCTGGAAATTTTGTTTCATATTAGGAATAAAGTTTATTTTGAGAAAGTTACTGTTCTCTTAGACCAGCCAAAACAAAACAAGAGAATAGGAAAGAGATGAAACACCAAGCAGGAGTCTGCAAAGGGACTGTCCTAGCCTCATTAAAAATACAGTGAGAGGGGCCGGCCCAGTGGCGAAGTAGTTAAGTGCACATGTTCCGCTTCGGCGCCCAGGGTTCGCCGGTTTGGATCCCGGGTGCGGACATGGCACCGCTTGGCAAGCCATGCTGTGGCAGGTGTCCCACATATAAAGTAGAGTAAGATGGGCATGGATGTTAGCTCAGGGCCAGTCTTCCTCAGCAAAAAGAGGAGGATTGGCGGCAGATGTTAGCTCAGGGCTGATCTTCCTTAAAAAAAAAAAAAAAATACAGTGACATTGCTGTAGGGAGACCCTCCGATTCTACCCATGGGGACTTCATGAGACCCAGCTACTTCAACAGACCCTACAAAAACAGATGAGAGGGAAGACACAGGAGCCCAAGGGAGATGGTCTGGTCTTTCCCCTTAAGTAGGAACACCCCAGCCTCAGACACAGCAAGGAGGGCTCTGACAGGCTGAAAGACTAGGTGGGACGGGTATAATACACTGGGGAAGGGGAGGGACCAGCCCAGTGCACCAGTGGGCGTGGCTCCACCCTTCCCACCTCACAGCCATGGGGAGCCCGGGTGCTGGTGGGCTGCCCCTGGTGCAGGCTCCCTACACAATTCTGCTGCTGCCACTGGGGACAAGCCGCCAAGACCCAGGGGCTCGGAGCTTCTTCCTCTGGGTGAGTATTAGTACAACAAGAGGTCCAAGGGGAAGTCCCTCTCCCTAGATCTGCCCCCCACATTTGTACTCAATTTTGAGGACTCATAAGTATCCCCCCTTCTTCCCCTTGCCCTCCGGGTCCTCAGGGACCAGTCTGGGCTCACATTCAGTGACCAGACAGTGAACTCAACCAGGGGTTGAGAGAAAGGGCCATGGCCCAGAACCCTGCTGTGGAGTCAGTCAGCCTTGGCTTCTTGCCTTTTCTAGCTGCAGAGGATGCAGGCTCTGGAGAGGGAGCAGGATGCCCTCTGGCAGGGGCTAGAGCTGTTGGAGCATGGCCAGGCCTGGTTTGAGGGCCGTCTGAGGGAGGCACAGCAACAGCAGCTGCATCTGGGGGCCCTTGGTGAGGTACGGGGCTGCCCCATGGTGTGTGGGGGTGAGGGGAGCTGGGAACATGTGGACACAGCCTGAGACCAGCCTGGAAAGGAGAGAGTTAATGGGCAGGGATCATGAATTCGAAGCAGCATTGTAATGACAGGATGCCACCAAGTGTTAGGTTGGTGTTCATTGTTGGGATTGGAGGAGGCTGGCCTGCATTCCATTCAGAGGGACACAATTTGGATTACTGCATTGAGATGGGGGAGTGGCCTGGATTATTCCACTGGGTCAGGGATGGACAGGGAGGATCCATAAAGAATAGGAAAAGGGGGAACTCTGCTATTTGAGGGGGATGGAGGAACTGGACTATTAAAGAGACGGAGTATTGGATTTTTCCCCCTGCCTGGAGGGGTATTGGGATGAAGGGATCCAGGTGGAGGAGAGGTGGTGATAGAGGAGTGGCAGATGAACCTTAAGTTTTCACCATGTTGTCAGCCTCCAACTCCTTCTTTAGAATTTTCTGACAGATTTACACTCAGAGCCTGGTGTCCCCCAGTTAGCCCAGATTCAAAAGGTGAACATCTGTTTGCAGAATCTGATTCAGGGGAAGGTGAGTTTATTGTTTTTAGTTTAGACTTTTGGGAAGTAGGGGTAGAGAAGGGACTTGGGGTCAGCACTGGTTTAACAGAAAACAGTGAATTTCCCCCCAGTTCTCCCCACATCCCTTGAACAAGGCTAATTCCTGCGCCACCAAGGACTGGAAGGGAAGGCCAAGGAAGCAGAATGTGTGGCATCAACAGGTAAACTGTAGGGGAGTGAGGGGAGGGCAGAGCCCTGGCCCCATGGGGGAGGGAGGAGCACAGATGCCCAGATTATTTCTCTCCTCTTCTCCAGGAGTTGTCAAGGCAGCAGAAAGGAGTCATTCAGCCAAAGGGGGAGATGGCTCAGCCGAGCTGCCCCAAGTGGCAGAGGGGCCCTACCAGGGTCTAAGGCCTCCTCTCCTTCCCCTCACTTGGTGACAGAAGAGGCTGAGTCAGAACCCCCAGCCTTCTTATTCTGCTTCTTAACTTAACAGCTAAATGGCTCCACATGGAGGGTCAAATGAAGTCCAAACATGTTGGCGTAAAGTTTCTTCTCTGCTCCTGAAAACTTCCATTTCATCTTCTTTGTGTCTTAAGCCCTCACTCTCCCCTATGTGATGTGCATAAATGATCTTTCTTTGAAATCCTTCTGGGGAGAAGACATGTTTATTGAAACAGTCCTTCAAATTTAAATATAAAAATAAAATAGAAGCTTCTCCAGAATTTCAAATAAAAATAGTTCTATACATAACACTTCCTGGTACCCTCCTACCCCACTCCCAACCTTAGTCTCTGCCCTATTTATCTTCCCCTCTCCCTGAGCTTGGGAGAGCATGAATAAGTAGTAGAATCAAGATGCTACAGAGAAATAGCAACTTTCTCCAAAAATGAGTCTTTGGTTTGATTCTCACAAGGATTAGGGAAAGTGCATTCTGGGAAAATCCATTGCCCTCTATCCCAATCTCCCTAAGAAAGAAAAGGGACAAGTGCATTAGAAGGAAAGCCTCCATCCCAGCTGAGAGAGATAGGGTCTGGAGGCCCATGTTATCTTCTCACCAACACGGCAAGATTGAAAATAGTGCTGGAGGCCCATCCCCCTAGGGGCTGCTGTGTCACCAGGAAGCCAGACCTAGCAGGAGCAGTACCCCTCCAACTGTGCCCCACCAGGTGTTGCCCGCCAGCCCTCCTCCAGCTATGCCCCGAGTCACCAAAGTGGAGGGATGAAAGCCAGGGCTGGCCGTGGTGAGGACGGGGCCAGACGAGTGGGCAGGGGCAGCGAGCTGGTCCTGGGGAGAAGAAGATTGTCAGGGTGCCTGCACCCAAATTAAGCCTACACCGCCCTCCCCTTGCCCTGCGTACCCTGCGATGGAAAGTGGGGTTGCCTCACCTGAGGGGCAGGGGCCAGCACCAGGAGCCGGAGGAAGGCGTGGGTCGGGGGCACTGAGCTGGCTTCTCGACCCATCGCAGTCACAGTCACCACCACCACGGAGTCCGGGGTGGCTGAGTCTGGGACCTCCAGCCACAGGCGCCCCCAGGCGGACTCATTGTGTTCTAGGAGAACCCTGGAGAGGGGATAACAGACCTCAGGCTGAAGCCCCGGCCAGGGCCGAGAGCCAAGGGGCGGAGCCAAGTGCAGGTTGGGCGGGGAGGAGAGAATCGGAAGGCCAATCGGAAGGGGCCAGAGGCGAGGCTTAAAGGGCGTGTACCAGATCCCACCCCCCGGAACCGAAAGGTCGGGGTAGAAGGGAACAAGAGGGTTCAGGGGCTGCACCTGGAAAGGTTGGAGGTGAGAGCGAAGCTGGGGTTGACAGATGCCCTGAGATCGAGATCCTGAGGGCCCGAGAAGCTGGCGATGTGGAGGCCGAGCGGGGCCTTGGTGCCTGGGGCCAGGAAACCCGGGGGGCCACTGAGCTGCGGAGGAGGGCGGGTCAGGAGAGGAGCCGCTCCTTTTCTCTCCAGCCCCAGCCGCACCTTCCCCTTGCCTCTCACCTCCAGAAGGACAGGGACCACAGAGCAGGGCTGGGGGGCCGCCCGGTGCAGGCCCTGTCCCCCTCCGTCCTGGCCAATCAGCTCCAGGGAAAATGGTCCCGCGGTGGACAGAAGTGTGGGCGATAGCGAGGCAGCCAGGAGACCTCGCTCCCAGGGTCCCATGGGCTCCAAAGGCACCCGGCCCAGCTCGGCACCCTTGGGGACTCCTCGAAGGACGACGTGGGAGAAATGCGGCAAAGGATCTCCAGATTCGCCTCTGGAGCCTAGCCCTGTCACTTCTACCAGCAGCTGGGTCTGGAGACCTGGGACAGGAGAGAGGAGGGGAGAATCTGCGTGAGATTCAGAGACCGAGAGAAAAGAATGAACAGCTTTTGGGATAGGGGTTACCTCTGAGGAGTACGGATGGAGAAAAGGGGTTACCTCTGAGCGATATTGATGGGGAGAGTCAGAAGGGAGTTCTGGGATCCTGGAAATGTTCTAAATCTTGAACTGAATGATGGTTACATGGGTGTATTATATGAAATCCATCCGGCTGTACACTTAAGTTTAATGTAAGTCATAACTCCATAAAAAGTTAAATATATGTAGAATTTTATATAAATATAAAATTAATGAACAAGACAGGGGTGGGGAATAGATGTACCTGCAACTGGCTGAGTCAGGGGGTAGAGGCCAGGGTGGGGTCCTTCCTCCACAGGGATCCCAAAGTAGAAGAGGAAGTCCAGGGAGGTCTGGGCTGAGGAGGTCAAAGGCAGTCAGAAACCTTCCTGAGATGAATGTAACTGATAATTGCTCTCTCAGCTCCACAGTCTCCCATCCTTTCCCAGAAATATCTCCCTCCTTACCTTGCACTCTCACCCTTGGAGTGCCCTTGGCTGTGACCTGGATCTCCCAGGTCCCTTTCTGCAGGGGGTCATTCATGGTCACCATCCAGAACTGCCCAAAGCGGCGAGTGTGACCCAGAGGCCCTTCGCCTTCCTCCTGGCCCTGGCAGACTCCTGGGTGGGAGTGGGAGGCAAGAGATTGTCACATGAGAATGCCTTCCCCTTAGTATATTACCCCTCATTCTCCAGTCCCCAGTCTCCATTCTTCCCTCTGCCTTGAGGGACACACGTGGAAGTACCTGCCGGGTTCCTGATGCAGAAACTGCTGACCTCCCCGTGGATTCGCACTGTGAGCCTCTGGAGCAGCCCATCCACAATGAACACAAGTGGCTTCCCAGGCACCACGACAGGAGGTTCCAGGGGAAGTGTCACCTTGAGGGAGGAATAAGACCAAAAAATAGAGGAGAAGATAAGACATGGAATGAGGTGAGAACAAAGACAGGAGAAAGACGGAGACAGAAAGAAACTAAGTCTCCACACATGGAGAAAGGATTCCAGTGAGAGAGTGAGGACCAGGGATGAAGTTATGGTCAACGACAAATTTGGAGGCAAGGGATTAAGGATAAGGCAATCACTTCTTGTCTCCCCTTAAAAGATGGCAGGACTTCCTGTGGTAGCCCAGGACAGAATACTGGAGGTCAACATTAGGGGGGAGGGGTGGTACTAATATGGGAGGAGCAGTGTGGAAGGTGGGTAGCCGTGGATCTCAGAGGGAGAGAAAATTCCTTTCCCACCCTTCTGTCTGGAATAGTAACACATCAATAGGAGCTGTTCCCTTTCTCCTTGAGAAAGAGAAATGCAGCGTCACCCATCCTCTCAGTTCTGAGGTGAGAGCCCTGGTCCCTCTGGCCCCCACACTTACTCACCAGGTCAGCCATGCTGTCCCCAACAATGGCTGCCACATCCCTAATGTGCTGGTCTTTGGTAAAGATCACCTCTCCTCCTGAGGCCAGGGCCACTGCTTCATATGGCTCAAAACGCAGCGGGGACAAGACCTCACGCCGAGCTCGGTGCTGAACCCTCGATGGGTCTTCTGTCACCAGGAATGTAACCTGTGCCCGGAAGAGAGGCCAGTACTTGAGGGGTCCAAGTGCATCTACCATCATAAACGAGGCTCCCTTGTGCTCAAGCTTCCTATAGAGCTGATGATTAGTGGTAAGCTCTCTGTCTACCCTCTGGCTGCTACTGAGGGCCTCCCAATGACACAAGCCCCTGGTCTTCAGTTAGTAGTCACCATTCCCTTGTAACTGTCACTATATGTCATCCATATAGTGGATTGTTGGCAATGATATCTCCAGTTCTTCAAATGGTTTATTGGGGGCAGGTTCAAATACGAATTCAGCATCATTAAGGGTAGGGCCTCCCACTCTTTAGTATTGTTAAAGGGATCAGGAAATGTTGTACTCATTGTCTGCTTCTCCCACCCCATGCCAAGGCTGGTTCAACCACCATAGTGTGGTGTGATCTTTGTTAGGAGATTATTGTCATAGGGTTTTCTGCATCCCTGAGAGGCTAACACTGCGTCTCCCACCAGCTATGCTCACTCTGCAGCGCCGCTCCTGAGTCAGGGATTCCACTCGGTTGGTGAGAAAGGCATCCTTCGGGGAGGCATCAGTGAAGACAAAGATGTCTGAGAGTGGAGGTGTGTGCAGCAGGGCCAGCTGGCAGGGAGGGAAAGGGCTGATGTTAAATATTGCGACAGTAAGGGAATGAGTTGGGCAAGCGTGGGTGAACCTAGTGGGACTAGGCTTTGAAGGCAGGGTCGGGGGTAGGGTCCCAGGAAGGCTCTAGCTCCCTTTAGTAGTGGGGCTTGGAAAAACAGGGAGAAGAAGGGAAGGAGTAGGGGAGGGCAGACCTCCAGAGCTGACAGGCACATCTCAGGCTCATCTCCACCCCCCAAGGCTTGGATCTCATTGAGTTGTTGCCAGAAGCTGTCAGGGTCACTGGTTGTAAAGACGGGGCCAAACCCTAGGGAGGGAGAAAGGAGGTTGAGGTAAGTGAGGAGAGGGCTCCCCTCATTCCAACCTAGCACCACCTCCCCAGTCAAGAGGCCTGCTGTGCTCCTGGGGTGGACAAGTATTAAGATGACAGTATTCCCTTATATTTATATGGGCAGAGCAGGGCAGGGGCAGGCAGGGGGTAGGTACCTCTAGTTGGAAAGTGGACCTCAATTCCCTAACAAAATGGCAGCACTCCTGTGGTCCTGAGTGGGCCTTTATATTGGGTACATGTGTAAGTACAAAAAACAACTGGGGGGTTGGCCCCGTGGCCAAGTGGTTAAGTTCGCGTGCTCCGCTTCAGTGGCCCAGGGTTTTGCCAGTTGGGATCCTGGGCGCAGACATGGCACTACTCATCAGGCCAGGCTGAGGCAGCATCCCACATAGCACAACCAGAAGGAGCTAGAACTAGAATATACAGCTATGTACTGGATGGGGCGGTTTGGGGAGAAGAAGAAGAAGAAAAAAAAAACAAGATTGGCAACAGATGTTAGCTCAGGTGCCAAAACAAAACCCAAAACAACTGGGGCCTTTTTCCTCACCAGAAAAGCCAGAGAAATAACGGTACTTACCTCAGAGGGTTATTGGGAGGACTAAATAAGTTGATTTTGTAAACCTTAGAATAGTGTTTTGCACATAAGGGCTAAATTCTTAATTATTCATTTATTCATACCTTCATCAAATATGTAATAAGCCCCTATAAAATGCCAGCTACTATGAGATTTATTCAGACAAATCACACTTCAACCCTGCCCTTAGGGAATTCTCAGTCCTATAGGCATTTTATTTGATCATCATTTCAACCCTGGGAGATAGGCAGGATAAGACAAGTACTGACCTATTTTGTGGATGATGGAGTTGAGGCAAAGAGAGCTTGAATGACCGGCCTAAGTAAGACTAGTTAACCCAGCCCAGATCATCTGACTTCCAATTCAGGGGGCAAAGAAATACTGTGTAACTAGGTGCCTCAGACACTTCACAGAGGCCTGGATCCCAACCCCCACCTTCATCTCAACCTCTAGCTACAGGAAATGGAGAGAAGTGAAAATGACTCATTAGCCTGGAAGCCTAAGAAAGCAGAGGCCACCTGCCTGAGCACAGATCATGATTAAGCTCATACGGAAACTGTTGTTATTTTGGAAACAGTGAAAGAAGGGGTCTATTGTTCTGTATATGCACACAGGTACCATAAAGGCTCACTCAGGAAGTGCCACCATTTTGCTAAGAAAGTGGAGCCATGAGGCCCACTTCCCCACCAGCGGCATTTACCCCTTGTCCTGGACTTTCCTTCCCTCCACTATCCCAGCCAAACTATGGTTACCTGGGTCATGGAAAGGCACCAGGACATAGTGGACAGGCTCCATGGGGCTGCCCCGCCGCTGCTCCACAATGTGGCGAGCCTGGATTTTGGCAGCGTTGATCTCCTCACCCATACTGCCTGTGGTGTCGAGGACAAAGCTCAGGCTGGAGGCTGGAGAGATGTCCAGCAGCCTGGGGAGCAGGCCAGAGACACAGTGAAGGATCTGCATATTTGTCCCCAGCCCCAGGTTTCTCAGCAACACCAGGAGTCCTCAGCCATTAGGGAGCCGACCTCCAGGAGGCCACTCACCTGGAGAAACCGCTGTCTCCCAGGCGGCTTCGCAGGAGGCTGAAGGCCTGGATAGAGGCCAGAAGGGCCAGTTTTGCAGCCTGGAGGTGCAGCATGTGGTGCGGGGAAAAGCCTGGGGATGTGCTATCCTTGTTGATGCCTCCCCGTGGTGGCTGGGAGCTGCTCCGATCAAAATGGCCCCCATGGCTACATTTCCCTGGGTTGGGGAAAGGGATCTGGAGGGTGGAGGTAAAAAAACCTGCTACCTCCTAAGAAAAGGAGACCCTTTCTGACCTGGCCTGACCCTCTCACTCCTCAGCAAAGGATCAGCAGGAAATGATGATATTTTGTGGGGAGAAAATCTGGAATAAATCTGGAGGGGTCAGTCACCAAAGCACTTGGTGGAGCCCCTGATCCTTCCAGTCGGTGCCCAAAAGCTGCCCTTGGGCAATTGAGAAGTCATCCGCTGAGTAAGAAGCTGCTCCCCCACTCCAACAATCACCGCTTCAGTGGGCCTCCATCCACCCACCCCATTCCCAACATCCTCTCCTTCCAGGAAGTGATGCCATAGGAAATGGCACAAGGGCCTAGAGGACCGAGATCCCTAGCAAGAGAGCCAAGGGAAAGGAAGTGACTTTCTCCCCTTACTTCCGGCGGCTTTCCTGTCTGGTACCTGGAGGTTTAGGGGGGTGAGTTCCAAAGTAGCCAGAGGTGAGGAGTGTGAAGCCCAGCAAATTCTCGGGGCAGCTCAACTCCTCGCAGTCAGAGCAGGTAGGATCGCCCACTAGGAAGAGAAGGCAGGGGTCCAGAACCCAAGATTCTGCTGCCCCCAACCATTTTCCTTGTCCACCCAAACATCTTCAGCTTTTCCTCTCAACTAGAACAAGGTGAGAACCCATAGGTACCCTTTAGGTTTTCTGAACTAAAACCTGGAGTCCATGGGCTGGCAATGACACTGACTAATTGAGACTGGGACTGTGCTAGAAAACCCAGAAGTGTGGGGACCAATCCTATGGGGATTGTGCCCTCTGTGAGCTGTGGACAGGAAGTGAACTTGTAATGGACAGGAGGCAGCTTCTGGGTCATAGTTCAGTTGGAAGGACGAGGGGGCTGTGAGAGAAAGCCCTGTGTGATCCAGTGGGCAAAGGAAGCCATATGAAAGACAGAGCACTTGACTGAGGTCTGCAGACTTGGTCCTGGCTCTGTCCTCCCCTGTGGGACCTTGGGGAAGCCACCTAACTGACCTGGCTTTTAGTTGGACTGGGTGACCTCACAGGTCATTTCAGAGATGAAGCGATGTCACATTCTATATGACCTCAGGATGTGACATGGTGGTTGGATGGGCTGAGAGGAGGTGGCTCTGTGGGCTCCCCCCAGCCACTGGGGTCATGGCCATACCTTGTGCCAGGCTCCCGAGCTCCCGCCTTGGCCAGAGGAGGTGAGGGTGTGGCTGCTGCTTCCCCAGTTCCACCCAGTTGCTGTGACTATAGAAATCCTGGTCCCGGGGGATAGGAGGAGAAGGGGAACAAGGCACTAGTCTGACTGTTCTCATAAACACCAGCCCTAACTCGCCACTCCTATGAGTTCCCCACCTAGAAAGCTCCTCCCATTCCTACTATTGTCAGTCCTCTCCACTGCTCTCTCCCCATTGCCCAGGGCAGAGCTTTACCAAAGTGGGAGTCTCCTAGTGTTTCTTCCTGTCTTACTCAGAGTCCCACCAAAGGCCTTTCAGTGGCTGACCAGGCCCACCTCTCTGACTCAGCGCCTTCCTCTCTCACCCTCACTTCTCTCCAGCTGCTATGGCCTCCTGGCTGTTCCCGCAGGAAGCACTGCCAGTTTGGAGTGAGGGAGCTAAGGAATAGCCTCAGGGCATTGGCAAGCAGTGCCCCCATCCCTTCAAGAGAAGGAGGAGGCATGATTAAGAAGGCACCACCTGGGAAAGGAAGCCTGGAAGTGAAGACCCCCCTGACCATTAATTAGCCAACTCTATTCTCACCTGCAAGGCATGAAGTGCAGCCCCGAGGCGCTGGCGGGCCAGGGTGTGGTCAAGGGCTCTGGCAGCCACCAGGGTCTCCCGTAGAGCCCCCACCAGGCGTGTGTGCCCTTGGCCCAGCCGCTCAGCATCAAAGTGCAGGTCAGGGTCATTCTTGGAAGTCGGCAGGAAGTCCTGGGCTGCATTGGCACGAGATACCTCCCCTAAGGCTGCTCGGAACCGCCGGGAAGGAAACCCGGGTCCAAAATAGGCGGCAAAGAGGTCATCAGCAAGGAGGGTGCGGCCCTGTGCAAGTGGTAGGAAACAGGGGTCCAGGGAAGCTCCTTGGATTGGACCACTGCCCACATTTCCTCAGCAAGTGGCGCTCAAGGCTGGGTGTGGAAGGGATTGAAGGTGCTGGCCCCTACAAGGGAGGGGCAATCCTGGACCTTTCTAAGGAGGGGGGACTCCTGATTTTAGGACCAGGACTCCTGGGTATTGTTGCTGCAGGGGGCACAGGAGGGGAAGTGGGAGAGGGCAGGGGAGTGTTCCTTCTCTTGGCAAGCAAGGCCCTCAAGGAGTAGAGGTCCCAGGGAATCGGGGAATCAGGTTGCAGTGTGACAGGACCCAAGGACACTCACCAAGAAGTCCTCAAGATGAAGAGGAGGCCGCCCTGGGGGTGGCTGCTCCAGGAAGAGCTGCAGGGTAACATTGAGAGCTGCCTCCTCGGTCAGGTCCTGGTGGGTGATGGAGCCAGGGGCAGCCAGGAGGCTCCAGATGTTGGGGAAGAAGGCAGATGCAGGAGGCAACAGCAGCTGCAGCAGCAGCAGCACTGAGGGGCCCAGGTGGGATAGGGACTCCTCCAGGAGGAGCATAGCTGAGGCATGGACCTGGGGAACAGAAGGCTTTCACTGGGGGAGGAAGCAGCCGCAATTCCAGGGCAGGCCTGGCTCTGTTTGTCTCCATGTGCACCTGCTTTGGCCCCTTCTTCCGCTTTGTCTCAAGCACCTTATTTGCTCCAGCTGGCCTTCCCTGCCCTGTCCCTCGTCACCCAGACACCTGAGGACCTTATGAGGCCAACAGAGACATATACCTGCAGGACAGGGGTCAGTGGCTCCTACCCCGGAATCCCCCTCCCCACCCACCGGCTGACACCCTAGTGCACAGGAAGTCCGGGTCTTCCCTCTACGCCTCTCCCCTACCTGGTTGCTGGGTCTCCCGGCAGGGCAGCTGGGCGTGGCGTCACAGGGCACTTAGGTCAGAGTTATAATTAACCCAAGCAGGACTCAGTGGAGGGGGAGGGAGGCCCTGGGAGGGTGGGGGCACAACAGGCGGCCCCTAGCCCCTCTACCCACGCTTGCCCAAGGCCACAAGCAGCAGCCGGCACCAGGGCGGGCCTCCCTTGGCTGCAGTGCAGAGATGAGTGGAGAAGAGCTGAGAAGAGCCGAGAGGAGGAAGGGAGAGAGCAGCGTGACTCAGGCCTGGCTCAGTGCCAGGGACAGACCCAGATAGATGCACCTCTCTGCCCACCGGGACCGGTGCCTGGTGCCCAGCCTGCAGCTCTCTCATTACTCACACCAGCCACCTCTGAGGATTCAAGAACCCAGGCGCCAACACCCCCTCCCTGGCTCCACCACACAGTCAAGAGATGGTTTTGTGGCAAAATATTTTATTGCTGCCACCCCCCTGGTGAACCACTGGGGGTTATGAGGGTTGGAGATGGGTGTATCACAGCATCTTCTGAAATAGGGCAATGGCTTCGTCCACCTTCCTGAGCTCTGCTTCTGTCTGTTGCAGCTGGGGGTAGAAGAAGGGAGTGTTGGGTGCTGAGGACCCAGGCCCAAGAGAGGAGACCCCCCCCAAATGCCCACAATGGCAGAGGGGTCAGAATTGGAAAGATGGGTGAGGACTATGGCCAGGGAGAGTAATTCGGGAACTATGTGTGCTTGGCTGGCCTGTTGCCCCCTAATTCTCACTAGCCTTCCCACCAGCACCCCCCCTTCTCGTCCACCATCACTGGCCTCTTGGGTCTTGCCTTTTCCCACAGAGTGGTCAGTTTTCAAGGACAAAGGGGCCTCAGAGCCCATGCGCCCCAGCCCCACCTGGGTGGTGGAGCACAGCATTGGGAATGCAGGCTCTAGGGAGGCACTTAGCCTTCACTTGTCAATGGCAATGGTGACGCTGCCTGCCCTGAGAGGGCTACTGGGAGAAGCAAGTGAGACAACCCCACGCAGCCACCAAGGCTCTGTAACCCTTAGCCTCCACTCCTGTTTCCCTCTGTGTCTGTGTGGTTTACGCCACTGCTCCTTCCTGGACAGATCCCCAGGTGAGCCCAGTGGGCTTCTAACTATATACGGTCCTGAGCCCAGCCCCACGAGAGTGGGATGCCGTGTTCCAGGCACTGGGTGGGTATGAGAGGTCTGGCTGGGAGGCAGGATACCTAGTTCTTGGTCTGCCTCCATCTTCAACTTGCTGCATAACCCTGGGCAGTGCCTCTGCCTCCCAGCTGTTCCTCATGTGCAAGAGGAGGAATCATAGGTTCCACTTGCTCAAGGGGCCTGGGCAGAGTGCAGCTGCAGGAGTGGGGTTTGATGATGGAGGGAGGGGATGGTGTGGGAGATGGGGAAGGAAATGCCCAACCACACCACACACCTTGGCTTCATCTGCCTCCTGGACTTTGAGGGGCACCTTGACAGCGTAGCCCGAGGCGGCGCGGCGCTCCCGCAGACGCTGGGCCTGCCGCTGCGCCTCACCTCGCTTGGCCTGCAGCTTGCCCAGCTCCCGGGCTGGGTCCACCAGCCCCTGAAGCTGCAGGTGAACGGAGCAGCGGTCAGAGGCCACGGCCACAGCACAGCCATGGGGTGCAGGAGCCCCCAGAGCCAGGACAGCCACCACACCCGCGCTGGCCAGCGCCTGCACATAGCCTGACACCGCTGACGCGAGGGCGCCTGTGGCCTCATCAGTCACTTCCAGGAAACCTGCCAGAAAAGGGAGGAAGGTGAAGCCCGGCCCCAAGGAGACAGGAGACAAGGCAGCCATGCTGGATACTGGTCCCCGAGTGGGCTCAGGGACAGTGGGACAGGGTAAACATGGGGGCCTGAGGCTCACAGTCAGGCCAGATCCGGGTGAGGTTGTAGTCAGCACGCAGGGAGCGCACAGCTCGAGTGACGCTCAGAGCCAGCTCCATGGCAGCTTCCGCCTCAGGGTCTTTCCAGGAGCACTGTGGGGCAGAGGAGGTGGTGAAGAAGGCTGGGGGACAGGCCTGAGCCCCCCTCCAGGCCACACCCCATACCTCTGAGGGCTCTGGGTAGGGGGTAATGCAGAGGCTAGGGGGAGCTTGTGGCGTCCGCCGGGGCAGCCTCTGGAACAGCTCCTCGGTCACGAAGGGCATGAAGGGTGAGAGCAGCCTCAGACCAACGTCTAGACAGGTGTAGAGGGTCTGACGGGCGCACTCAGCTGCCACCTGGTCCACTCCATTCAGCACAGGCTTCAGGCACTCCTAGGGGACAGGGAGGCATAGGGCTCAGGGCTGGAAAGGGTCTAGCCTGCAGCCCTCGCTGCACATGTGAGGACTGGGAGGGGGACAGGTTGGCTCAGGTCTCATGGCCAACCACTGGCAAAGCAAGGCCCAGGGCTCTGCTGTCCCCTGCCCCACTTGGCTCCTCCTTACCAGGTAGACATCACAGAGCTCATACAGCCAGAAGCTGTACTGGGCGGTGGTGATAGCTGGGAAGTCGTAGGCCTGGAAACCTTGGTTGCTGAGCCTCACGGCCTCAGTCAGCCGGCTGCGGATCCAGCGGTCCACCAGGCTCTCGTGGCCTCCAGGCTTGGGAGAAAGGGGCATATCAGCCAGGGGGCTACCATATGCCCAAGGGGAGGGGGCCAGAACCCCACAGGGGAAGGAACCATGGGCAAATCGGCGTTCCAGGAGCAACCACCATGTGCCCAGTATCTGGGGGAGATGGGACAGGCTCCCCGCCACCTTGAGAGAGGACCCAACGCCCTGGGCGTTCCCTGTAACCATCTGTCCCTGAATCCATCTGTCCACCCAGCTACAGGGAGGCTCCTTGGGGGCCAGGGCTGGGCTTCTTAACTCTGTGGCTACAGTCCTGACACAGCATGGGCCGTGCTTGAAGCTGGAGTGGCAGGGCTGCAGCCTGTGTGGCTGCTGGCCACTTCGCTGCCTACCAGGCCCTCACCTCAGAGGTGGGTGAGGGCACAAAACCCTTCCCAAGGCCACGGAGGGCAAACTTGGTGGCGTTCCAGAGCTTGTTGCAGAAGTGGCGGTATCCTAATATCCGGTTCACATCCAGGTTGATGTCACGACCTGGGTTGGGGTGGAGTGTGAGTCCTGGCTATTCTCCCTCCCTCCCACGCCCAGGGCGGACAAGGAGAGGGGTGGGCCTCAGAGGAGGAGGAAGGATGTGGCTGAGAGAGGTTTTGGGGGCCATACCCTGGGATGTGTAGGCGCACAGCCCAAACCGGAGCGCATCAGTGCCACACTCGGGAATGCCCGCTGGGAAGTCGGCCTTCTGTGGGGAGGAGTCAGGGGGCGTCCGGAGCCAGCCTCACCCACCTCTGCCCACCCTCCTGCCCCAGGCTCACCCTCTGTACCTGCCCTTCTTTAGCCTTCTCCACCTCGCTGGGATCCAGGTTGCTGTTCAGTAACTGGTCGTGAAGGCCCTGAGGGGGAGGGGGAGTGTGGTCAGGGGCTGTGGCCACAGCCCCACAGCCCCACAGCCCTTCCCCACCTGGCCCAGCGCCCAGCCCCACCTGCAGGGAGACTCCATGGATAACGTCCAGAGGGTCGATGACATTGCCTAGAGACTTGCTCATCTTCCGGCCGTGGGCATCTCGCACGATGGCGTGGAGGTACACCTGTGAGGCAGGGGAAGGGAAGACCCATGAGGATGCGTCTCTGCACCTAGACCCCAATGCCCCCTGCCAGGCCCTGCATCTGGTCTGCCCCACTCTGAACCTCAGGCCCCTTAGTGTCCCTGCCAGCCCATTCAGTGCCTTTATGAGACTCACAGGCACTCCCTCCTCTGGGAATGCAGGACACAGAATCAGTGAGCAGAGCCTAGGCTGGCTTTGTGCCCCCACAAGCCCCATGGTCCAACCTGCCCACAGCTGTCCTTAGGCCCTGCCTTGTGCCCCACCCATGCTGAGCCTCAGCTGTGGCACAGGAGGACAGGTGCAGTGGGGACTGTGGGCGGGGGTCTCAGCAGGCTTCACACCTCTCTGAAGGGCAGCCTGCCAGTGAGCTTCAGGCCGAGCATCACCATCCTGGCCACCCAGAAGAAGAGGATGTCATGGCCGGTCTCCAGCAGCGTCCCCGGGTAGAACACACTCAGATCTTCTGACTAGGGGCAGAGCAGAGCATGATGGGGAGCCACGCACCCACCTCCAAGACCCCACCCGACCTGGGCTGGCCTTAGGGACATACCTGGTTGGGCCAGCCCAGGATGGAGAAGGGGAAGAGGCCCGAAGAGAACCAGGTGTCCAATACGTCCTCATCTAAGGGAGGCCAAAGGTCAGAGGTCAGAGCCAGGAGGTGAGGATCAGAGCCCTACCTTTGCCCTCCCACCCCAAGCCCCGCCTTGCCTTGCTGGAGACTGATCTTGTCGGGGGACACTCCAAACTCCTTGGCTGCCTTCTCGAGGGCCTCGGCCTCGCTGCGCCCACTCACCCAGTACCGCCCATCAGGGTCCTGCCACAGGTGGAGTGAGTACCCAAGGGGATGCCTCTGCCTTGCCCTGACCCCTCCCCCAACCAAGCTCCCCCAGATGTGCCTGTATCCAGCTCTGGCCCAGCTCTCACCTCCCCTGGGGGTACAGCTGGGTCATTGACAGTGATGAAGTAGGCTGGGATGCGATGGCCCCACCACAGCTGCCGTGAGATGCACCAGTCCCTGCAAATGGCGAGGGGAAAGGGAGGGAATCAGCAAGGGGAGGGAGGTGCCCTGGCCTGTGCCAGGCTCAGCCCCTTGCCCAGTCACCCTCCCCACATCGAGGCGCTTGTCGCACCGGATGTTGTCCATCCAGGCGTGCCACGTCCGTTGATGGGCCTCAGGCAGGATGCGGAGGTCGCCCCGAGTCACAGCAGCACTGGCAGCCTGGGCCATCTCCCCACAGCGCACGTACCACTGCGGCCGCAGCAGAGGCTCCACCACGTCCTTGGACCGGCTGCAGGTACATGTGAGTGAGGAGGCTGGGTGGGGAGCACCCTGAGGAGCCCTCCCCTCCCTGCTTCCTTGACCACGTCCCCTCACTTGCAAAGTGGCACCACCATGGGGTTGTCCTTGATGTCACGGAACAGCCCCTGCTCCTTCAGCGCCGCCAGCACTGCCTTCCTGGCCTCAAACCTGGGCAGGCCCTGGGTGAGAGACAGGCCTCATTATGGCCATGCCTAGGAACCCCGTTGTCTCTAGGCCCGGCCCCCACGCTGCAGGCAGTCTCACCAGGAAAGGTGGGGGCACGTTGACAAGGGCCCCTCGGGAGTCCATGATGCTGATGGCTTCCAGCCCATGCCGCTGCCCAACCT